TCCAACTGCTCCGACGCGTGCTGTGTTTTGCTAGATAGTTTTTACATACAAGGGGCTATATTGTTGGTTTTAACATGCCGATGATATTACTTTATTTGACAAACTTTTGTGTCATTATTCTGGATTATCTGATTTGGCTTTCTTTTCTAGGTTTAATGGAAAATTGCTTTGAACAAAGTGGAAAACATGGGATACAAACTAGAACAATTTTTTTTTTTGAACCATGCAACCTAGAGCAATTGAATTTCAACTTTTATTTCATAAACAAAATCTTGAATTACTGGCGTGCAAATGCACGTGCACAACCACTAGTATTTATAAATATTTTACTGTTCAAAGCTTTTCATATTTTCACAAAGGTCATTTTAAAAATTTTCATTGTCGAAAAGGTTCATTTTTAAAACCTAGTTTTGCGATATGTCACTAGCTATTGAGTTAATATTTAACATGAAAGTTATATGGTACTTTCACAAAAAAGGTAATAACATACCGAATGTTATCCACTAAATATTAAATACAATGGTGATACCATGTTAATATTACGATGTGCTATCACCAACTAATATATATATATATATATATATATATATATATATATATATATATATATATAATAAAACAGGAATGTGTTTGAATTTTATCTCATTTATATTTTTCCCCTCAAAATTATCACCAATCACTTACCTCATCTATCATCTCTTTTCAGACTCAAACGTCAAATCGCATCATTCATTTCTATCACATATTTAATTATTTATATATTTCCTCCCTAAAACATCACATCACTCATTTTTATTATATATTTAATCATTTAATATTAAATTAATTTATAGTTAATATATTTTGAAAAAATTTAATATAGTGAAATCGATTTTTTGAACGCTCAAAGTTTATATTTTATCGTGCCTTCAGGCACAGGTTATAACTAATACATATATAAGGAAAATAGGTCTTATACAAATTAATAACTATCTCTCCATGTAAACCAATAACTACGTAAGTAAGGTTTAGCTTGCCCATTTGATGTTTTATTATTAATTGATGAAATTTTTTTTGTGTCAAGCTGGATAGGGTACTCATGCCCTTACCCAAGCGAGTTATCGAGCGGGTTGAGTCAGGCTTCGAATAGGAGTAAGTTATCCGCAATTCAACCCATCACTCATTAGACAGACCTTTATATATATATATATATCTTTATTTAAAAATTTTTGAACTTATTATTTTTGTAAATCATATTTTTGAATTAAAAGTAGAGTTAAAATAGACGAAAAAAAAAATAATGAATAATACCCAAGATTAATCAACTTATTATTTAAGTAAATAATTTTTTTTGTTGAGATGAATATATCTCCTAACCAATAATCAAAATTTCATTTTGAAACGATTGAAATGTCTGAAACATTTTCGTTTCCAAGGAAACGAAACAAAAAAATAATAGAATCAAAATTCTAATACTTCGAGATGTTTCAAGGTATTTCAAGATATTTTGGTATATTTCGACTAATGTTTTGGAATAATAATAATTCTTAAATTTTTTATTTTCTTTATTTTGTTTTCGAAACAGGTCAAAATATTTTCGAAATACATCGATATGTTTCTATTTTTTAGATGACCGAATCAATGAACCGAATCGAAATTTTAATCCTTATCCCTAACTTTCAATTTTTTTTTTTGAGCAATGCTATTAAGACATAATTTATAAACGTAATTTGAGAACATCATGAGTTGTCATTAATGATATGATAATGAATTCATTTAATGCTACAATGAGACCCGTCATTAAATACATTTTACTATCATTTCATTTGTGACAACTTATTATGTCTTTAAATTATATCTTTCAATTATATCCTAATAGCATTAGTATTTTTTTTTTCAAACAAAATGGGTGGATGGGTTCTTGGGCTAAGTTTTAACTAGTTTTTACAGGAGAGCTAAGTGGCTGGGTTTCGATCAGGGTAATGGACATGGGAAAGGCCCAAGTCTTCTTTCAAACGGATCAACTATCAAGTTTTTTGAATTTTAAATTTAATTGTTTGGATCAAATTAGATTACGCCGACCCATGGGCACCCTAGTTGTATTGAAACGGTTCGATTTTATTTAAGGGTTCTTTGGAAGTCGGTATACCTAATTAAACTTATTTGATAAAAAATACATAAAATAAAATGTGACTTAAAAAGACATAAATGCTCATTTTAGAGTCATTTAATTCAAAATCTCTTATCTTTAATGCACCTTGATTCATATGTATTTGTTAATATATATAAATACGTATTTAATGCATATTGATTAATGTGTATTTGTTAATACATGTATATATGCGTATATATGAATATATATACTTATTTATATAATATACACATATATACGAATATATATATTTATTTTATACACACACACGTGTATATATATATATTTGTTGTTAAATCTCTTATTTAAATTTTGAATTATCTTTAATGCACCTTGATTCATGCGTATTTTTTTTTTTGAAAAATGATTTTGTTTTCAAATTATATTTAATGCACCTCGATTCAAGCATTTTTTTTTTTGAAAATAGTTTTATTTTCAAATTAATTTAATATTCGAATATCTAATAGTATAACAATAACAATATAACAAAACCACTGTAATAAAGACAATATAACAAATACACTGTAATAAAAACAGTGTTCAGTAGTTTTGTGTATATGGTAACAAATTCAAAATAGAAATAGACTATTTTGAATGAATTTATATGAAACTATATGTTTGACAAAATATAATAGTACAATATTTTGTGTAAATAACTTGTTACACTATTATTGTTATATTGTTACATTGTTAGTGTTACACTTTTATTATTACATTGTTATTGTTACACTATTATACTATTCAGATATTAAATTAATTTAAAAATAAAACCACTTTAAAAAAAATATATATGAATCAAAGTACATTAAAAGATAATTCAAAATTTAAATAAGAGATTTAACAACAAGTATATACATAAGTATTTTCATATATATATATATATATAAAGTTCTCCCATAAAATTTAGAGATGTTTAATACACCACTTTTCAAAGAAAAATGATACATTAAATACACATGAATTAATAAAGGTCAAAAATATCACAATAAAAATACAAAAATTTAAATTATGTACTTTAATACAAATAAATATCAAAATTAAATATTTAATAACCGTATATTTTTTAATATGTATTTTTTACCAAAAAATTCTAATTTGGTACGCCTTTTACAATTTACCCTTTATTTAACTGTCTCTCAACGGAGGACGAGACATAAAGCCCCATAATTATAAACCTACCTCAACCACAAGTAAGAGAGAGAAGGGGAAAAAACTCAGTCCCACGTGTCAAATCCATACTGGTTCCTCGTTAAGATACACCCGGATAAGCCCTCCATTCCAAACCTCAACTCCCACTTTCCCTCTCTTCTTTCATTTTCCCGAGAAAATTCTAAGATTTTCTTATCCCATGGAAAACCATTAGAGGGAATACTGAACAAAAATCTCCTGGAAATTCTCCAATTACGATTCTATCTCACCTCTCTCTCTCTCCAATGGCGGCTGTTAGCTCTCTATACTTTTCGGCAATTGGTCAATGCCAATCCTCTGATAGGAATTTATCTGTTGCTTCGACTCGTTCGTTCGCTTTCAGTTTTGATGCCAATCGGTTCCGTACAAACCTTTCGTTCGATTGCCTTGGTGGTCGACCTTCGAATTCCAGTTCTCGTTTGGTCGCTCATTGCATGTCTGCTGCCACGGGCAAGTTATAGTTGATTGTTGATTACTTTACTGATATTCTTCTTGGCTTGCATACTATTGTGGTCTGTTTGGTTGCTGAGAAAAGATGTCCACTTGGTGAAAAACATTTGAAATTTTGAGTTTGAATTACTTCAACAGGTACAGATCGCGAAAATGTGAACTCTGCTGAACAATTGATAGTAGTGGCAAATTCTTCTCGAAGTTGAAAATTTTAACTTCTAAGTTGTTGCTTAAATAAGCAATGTAGAATGAGTAAAGGAAAATTACCCATCACGGTCCTGCTTGTGAACAGTGCTGTGATAGGGTAGACTGGGACTTGGGACCAGGGACCAAGCCCAGAAATTGTGGGCGAGGTGGCAGCTGAAAGTTAACTCCTGCCAACCGGAACACTTGCATAATTTCACTAGAGCAACCAATTGTCTATGTTTGTGTGTTTATGTGTACGTACATACATACAAATCCATATATTGTGTTTGGAAAGCCAAGAAACAGAAAAGTTTTCCCTTTTTTTTTTTTTTCTAGTTTCTTTAGTGTGATTTACGTTCATTTTTCTTATGAGGATCTTGGTTAGAATACCATAAAGATATTTGATGTCTACAATGATGGGGTGATTTATTGATCAACATTATCATTATAGACATAAACCAAAAATTACAATTCTTGGCTGAAATGTTATATAACATCTTAAGCTCATTCGTACGCAGAAAGAAGTGAAACCCAAGTTAAAATCGAATATCAGCTACTAGATGTTCTCTGAATGTACTAAATTCTACAATATAATTTAGACATGGAAAAACTATATAATTGATGTAATGAAAACATGCTACTAAGCAAAGTTAGTACTTATTTTGTGGAACAAACTTCTGAGCATATCCAATCTTAGTTATTTCATTTTTCTGTCTCTTCTTTCACTTGTGCACTTCATTGTTACAAAATGTGATGAACAATCTTTCTATTTGTGTTTTTTTTTTTTATCTCAACTTCTATTTCTATGCATATATTCTTTTATCCCTGATTTATACACATCTAAGGTTTTAGTTGACTTGCAGAGAGGGGACCATGGTCTTCGAAGAAATCCAATAATCGTAAATTCAGAAAAGCATGTAAGGGAGAGACTGTATATGTTAACATAATATTTGGATTCTAAATGATTAGGAAACTATACCCCACAACAACAGAAAATTTATTGAACAAAGGACAAGCCTAGCCTTTGGCTGGGAGGGGTGGATTGGGAGAGGTAAACTGGAGACATGCCTAAGCTCCAGCATATTTTTGCCAAAAGTGGCCACTCTCGCTGAGAGTCAAAGATGAATATTTACGCCTAAGAGCTTCAGCACATTGCCATTAAATTAGGCAATGACCCCTAATATACAACAGTTAAAAGTATCAAATTTCAATTTTGAGTATTTACAAATAAGAAAATCAAGTATGTTGCTTGGGTGAGTTATTGTTTCAGTTGTGAGTAAACAAAAGTGAAAAAGAAAATTATGCTCTAAATATCTCAGAAAATAAACAGGTAGCTTTTAACTTTCCTTCTTTCATTGTTAAATTCTGGCATTTAATTACTATTCAACTGATTCTGTAATGTTAGGAGGAGTTATGTTTTGAATCACAGATTTTCTTTCTTTCACTTCACACTTACTACACTAATAGTTCTCTCGAGTAGTTATTTGTTTGATTTAGGGTTTAAAAGCTTATGCATTACAATATTGATGATGATTCTTCCGGTGGGTTTATAATCCGATTTACATTCATTGTCCCAGGATAAACTTACCATGCAGAATATGTGTATTGAGATCCTTGCTATTTATGTCCATCATATTTATTTTGGAAGGAGTTTAGCTAACTTGTTGGATAGTTAATTGTCATGATTTATGGAAGAACTGTATTTAAATGCATGTTTAGTGGGTTCTGATGCATCTGTTTTGTCATGTCATTCGTTTCAGATGTTCCCACCGTGGCTGAGACAAAATTGAATTTCTTAAAGGCTTACAAGCGACCAATTCCCAGTATCTACAACACCGTTCTGCAAGAGCTAATTGTTCAACAACATTTGATGAGGTACAAGAGGACTTATCGTTATGATGCTGTGTTTGCCCTTGGATTTGTTACTGTGTATGATCAACTCATGGAAGGGTACCCAAGTGATGAAGACCGGGATGCTATATTTAAAGCATATATTGAGGCACTACAGGAGGATCCAGAGCAATACAGGTTTGTCTACATAATTCCTTAACCTACCTTTCAACATAGATCGTGTGATTTTTTCCCTCTTGCTTTTTTTACTTTAGGTCAGCATGTATGCAGTAGTGAAAAGAATTGTTAGAAAGACCATAAAAATAATGTTTTTATCTATTGTTGGTTGATTTGCTTTAACAAGATTTCACTTCAGTGAACTATGAGGGTAGCCATATTGATGCTTTAACTCAACCATCTTATGCAAACTTTCATTGAAAGAGAACGAAAAGGTCTTTCTCTACATGCGCTTTCACAAGAGTATATCGTAAGTCTCAACTGGATAGCTGATGGTGCTGCCTTGAATTCTGAACCTAAAACTAAATTCAGGTTGTCCATGAACACTGGTATTGAAGTTAAGTTGTGGTTGCACAGAACTTGCTGATATGTGTACCTGCTGGACCCAGAATTCTTAGATAAATCACCCTGTTCACCCCCAAACCCCCTGTTACAATTTCATATTGGAAGAAAACATGATTAACCTGTATTGTCCTCATTTTGAACTGTATGAAGTCTTTCTAGCTGACTCAAGCAATTTGCTTTAAGTCTCAGATGAGTTGACTCCTCATTATGGTGTTCGGCGCAACACTCAATTGAATACTTCCATATCCACAAAAGCCTTGAATGATCAATTGCATTAGACTGAAGGTTTGATAATTGTATACTGCAGAATTGATGCCCAAAAATTGGAAGAATGGGCAAGTTCTCAGACTGCCACTACATTAGTTGATTTTTCATCTAGAGAAGGAGAGATTGAAGGCATTTTGAAGGACATTGCAGAAAGAGCTGGAGGCAAGGGAAGCTTCAGCTACAGCCGATTCTTTGCTATTGGTGTGTTTCGCCTTCTTGAGTTGGCAAATGCAACTGAACCCAGCGTTTTAGAAAAGGTAGAACCCAAATTCTCTGCAGTATCATTTCAATTCCCCATTTGAGAACAGATAAAAGGAAATATGCTATTGTGACATATTTGGAGTTGACTTACTAAAGTACTTGAACAAAATGTTTCATTTAATTTGTGTGAGTGCTAAATTTTATTTATTATCATTTTTTGTACTAACTGCACGCGCTCATCTTGGTTGGATTTTTATTTTGCACCTCCATATTTTTTGCTACATTCAAACTAACAAATATCATTGATAGATTTTATGGATTTTCAGATATATGATTGGATGACCATACACTTGTGTAAGTGTTGTTGATGGCTGCTGTCAAGAGTTTTTTCGGGAATTTGATTGGACTAGTGGTAGCTATGATATTTTGTTTTCAGATTCATCACTTAACCTCAGTTGCAAACTTCTCTTTTTAGTATGCTGAGTATGTCCAGCTATACTAAATTGAATGCATAACTGCTGATTATGAAAGAAATTTAACTACCAGGGTTCCTTGTGGTATTATTGCTTTAGTATGAACATTGTTCTAATTTGGTTCATCTACACACACTTATCTGTTCTTTTTCCCTTGGTCATTTTCTGCTCATCTTCTCGTTGTGTATTTGTATAATACAGGAAAGCCTAGAGTTTCTTGAGCATTGTTGGAAAACATTTTTTCCCTCCTCAGAATATTCTCTTCTGATAAATTTTATTACTTATATAGAGATTAGTTTAATCTATTGAAAGAGGGTAGATAACTTTCAGCTATGCATATTTGTGATTGTTACACTTTATCCTAGTGGCGTGATGCACATCGATCCCCACAATATGGATGAGCACCTTTTCTCAACATCAATATCACATGATATAATGGATGAGGGATCAAAAAAGCTTATAGCAATGCAGCCTATCTGAAAGTTCTGCATTCTATCAAAAGCAAATCATATAATTTTCTCTTGTAAGAAAAAGACAGAAGAAAATGTATTCTAGGGTGTTGATGTGGTTGTGACAGTCTGCTGTATTTGGGCATTTGTGTGTGCACCTCTCTCTCTCTCTGTCGCCAGGTGGGTAGTTCCGATCCCTTTCATTTGCTTTGGTTTTTTACAAGGAAGGGTGTTGGATGATTTTGGTCTTTGACATTCTGCTAGGATTTGGAATATAATGAAGGTCTGATTGTTAATTGGCAAAATGCTTGCCATGAGAACTGAAACAAGCCCACTATTGAAGTAATGGAAAGACAAATTGAAAAGTTCTATATGTGTGTTTTGCATACGTTTCATAATACTATTCCATGTACTTTTGTTGTCCGAGTCCATGCGTATCTTTGGATATGAGGTGGAGACAATGCTATAGAACATTTGTCCTTTTGTCAAATCAAATTTTGACAGGACATGATGTTAAGAATCTAGATAAATATTTGACTTATAACTGTTTTTAATATTTGTCTCTCTTTTTATCAGATGCAGCCATGATTCAAAGTAAAGTGAAAAAAATTATTCGTTTTGTGCATTTGAAGTTCCATGAAGCTTTAATATCTCAGTTCTAATGTTCATTCTTCTTGTTTATATGACAGCTTTGTGCTGTGCTCAACATAAATAAAAGGAGTGTGGATCGCGACCTCGATGTTTACCGCAATTTACTATCCAAGCTGGTACAAGCAAAAGAGCTCCTGAAAGAATATGTGGACAGGTGATCCTAATATCTTTCCTAACTCTAATTCAATAATAATTCTTCGTAAAATGCATTCCTTGCAATGTATTTGCATAAGGTCAAACAAGAGATGGTAATCATAACACCTGAAAGTGGACTCAAGCTCTCAATTAAAGCATTTCATGAACACCCCATCCTTTGCCCCCTGCCCCAACCCCCAACAGCAGCTACAACAAGAAGGGTCTGAACCTTTTACAAGAACTTAAATCTCAAAGTTGTGGACCTATGTAGTGAAAGCAGATCTGTGGCCTTATTTTGCAACAAGTCCTTCCTTTACTTGCACCTTGACACCTAGTCAAGATGAGAATTTTTGGATCAGTTTCTACTCATAGCTGAGATCAACAATAGAAATGCGCCAAAGTATCTGCATTTTCCCATGCCTTCTGGATTCGTTTCATGGCTCTTGATCAATGAGGCAGTAACGTGCCTTTTAGATGTCGAATCTCTCTAACAGAATTCTTTTTTGGGATCGGTATTCCTCTTTTGGTTGTACAAAAGCACTGAAGTCTTTGCAATTTCCAATGACTATTTACAATTCATGACCAATAAGGCAGCAATGTACCATTTACATGTCAAGTCTCTCTCCAATGAACATTATTCTGCTGTTCCCCTTGGTACTAATCTCTCCTAAAATCTTGTGGCTTCCAGGGAGAAGAAGAAAATAGAAGAAAGGGCAGAATCTCAGAAGGCTAATCAGGCCGTTACAACATGTTTGGGGGAATACCAACCAGCCGGACGATAGTGACAACGGCGTTCTCACCACCTATTGGATACGCCTAATTGGTTTTATCCATTTTGACAGAGTTGGACCTTCCATGGTTAAGGCAGCCTTAACATAATATGGATTGATTATCAATGTAAAATTTTGTATACGTCCTATTTACACAGATTATTTTCTCTTATTTAAAAGTAATTTGTTGTTCTGTTCAAAATGTAAAAGCAAATATGCTGTTAAATAGCAGAACCGGTCCATGACTTGACATCGGTGAAATGTTACTTCCAATTCCTTGTATGTTCTATAGAGCCAAAGATTACCCTACACTGAACGGCCTAAGCCGATCATGCCCAAACCGTATAAGATTGTTTACCCAACAAGTACCAAAGTATAAACTGAATAATTGGCTTTATCGATAATGCTTAAAATTAAATAATTAACTGTATGATCTTCAAACAACTGATTAGAATACGATAGCTACCAGGTTATGCTCTGCTATGCTAAATATGGCAAATAGTAGAGATTCAACCACTAATCAATAAGACGGCAAAGTAAATGACCTAGACTCAATCAGTGACTAACAATAGGTTCAACTGAGACGAGAAATGTCAACATCCTCTGGGATTTTGAAGGTGTCTGCTGCACCGAACTTTCTCCACTCTTCCCCAGCAGATTCTTCTTCATCATTGCTGTTACTGTCCTCTTCTTCAGCATCATAGCTGACTGGAGTTGAGGGATCATGAATGCTTTTAGATCTACAATCGTGGGTGGCAAGTATCTTCACCTGTCTAAGATGCGAGATTTCTACCACAACGGTGTCATCATCAACTGGAAGGGGCTGTTTCCAAGGTTCCCCATCAATCCTCATGAATGTGTGCTCGGCTGCACCTTTGTGAAACTCAAATCGGACTCGGTGTGTCTACAAACAGAAGAAAAATTGTCAGGGAAAAAAGGATAACTCATGACACAACTCCCATGCATTACGTGTCCTAACTTTACACGTTTGTGCCATCTGTACTCAAGGAGGGGTCATGGCTTTTCTTTCAGCAAGTTATTCTGATGGGAATTTTCTTTGTTAAGATTTATATCCACAACCTCAAATATCCTGCAGCAAGCAACTTACTAAGATTTCCAACAATGTGCCAAGATTTTAAGTAGCCTTACCCTAATCCTCAAGAATATGGGCTAGCTGAACAAATACTCGTACTCTATTTAGAGTCATATCTTCCATTAGATCATAAGGTGTTGCGTATACTTTAACTAGTGGATACTAGGACAATCTCAAGTCATTGCAGCTCATAATCAGAACAGTTTCCCCAATGGATCTATTAGACTTGAAGCTCCTTAAAGTGAACTTCAGACCTTGAAAATGAATTGATTGCAGGAAGAACATTTCTAACTACTGTACTGATAGAAGGTTATGCAAGCCTATGTAATCTAGCAAATACATTGAAGCCCTGTACCCTTTTAGGACTATAGGTGGTGGACAATGTTAGTCTATGAATTGGTGGTCCAATGGGAAATTTTCTGTCCATTCAGGTGGTTTTAAAAAAAAAAACGCCCATCTGAGTGCTGACAGTTTTGTTCAAAGTTGCATTCAAGATTACTGGAAAACTGCACTTTTTTTAAGTTTTTATGCTATTGAAAACACTGAACATTCATCCTTGTTCAATGCATCCAATTATGTCACAATTGAATATCATTTCACACTGCTAATAAACTCAACTCAATTCAACAAAGTCTTGTCCCAACTGTTTGAGGTCAACTAACAAGATGTTAAAATTTATGGACTCAAATTAAAACTTTGGCTTTGAATGAGATGATCTAGTCAAGTATCGGCATGTTTGGGAATGGTCGGATGAAGTTAGGTGTTGAAGAATGACTCAAGCTCAAAATCATCCAAGGAAACTTGGCTCAAGATTGGTTTGGTAGATGGTAAAATCTTTTTGAGGCTCAGCATGCATGACAAATCTCCAGACAGTCAAATCATCCACCACTTGCACAATTGTTAACGGTGAACTTAAAACAAAAAAGGCCAAGAATGGAGTAAAATTTTTAGCAGATACCAATGCAACAATGATGTCAGCACTCAATTAGTACTGGGAGATATCATTCGTATTGCTTTAGCATGTCATAATTCTTTGTGACCTTTGTAAGACGATGATTGAAGGAGCATCTGAGGCAAACAAAATCTGATATTGGAAATTTACAGGTTAGCCTAGACAACTAACCAATTGATTATCAATTTACCGAACTTTTCAAACAAATTTACTAAAATATGGTAGTTTTAAACTTATTTACCGAACTATGACACTTTTTGAAATTGTGGTTGGTGACTACGATTTTAAAGGAAAGTGTGTTTATTAACCACGATTTCTCTTAGTCACTAATCACGCTTTTAATTGTCTACATTAACTCGAGGGGGACATGGGCTTTTGTTGCCTTGGAATTGTAGGAACTTCATTTCTAGGAGAAGAGTTCATAAAGCAATGCATGCTAAATGTGTAAGGACAAAAACATATGGCTCATGTCTTCATGGTGTCAGACAACACCACATGGACTTCCCTCCCTGAAGAGGAGACCACAGAGAAATGGAAGATTAGAAAGAAAAAAATAGGTAACCCGAGTTGTCAAGCACTAATTGGTTGACCAGCTACTTCACTGGGTCATGCTGTCAAACAAGAATGCAAAGTCAGTGAACTAGGAAAAACTCATAGTCAGACCAATTTTGTGGGACAAAGTTAAAAACGTGGTTGTTGACCACAGCTTTAAACCCCCAATTTTGCCTTTAGGTTGTGGTACTGTTAACATAAAAAAGCATGGTTAAAAAACACGCTTTTTGTTAAAAGTGTGGTCATTAACCACGTTTTTAAAAGTTGTTGTAGTTGGTAAATAAGTTCAAAAGTGCCGTAATTTGGTAAATTTGTTTAGAAAATTTGTACTTGGATAATTAATTCGACAACTAACAGTTGGCAACTAAAGAGAGATTTAAATTCAGGTAACTCATTCATGCACGAATTATGGCATCCAGCAAACAGTGGATGCGCGTTTCATAACTGCTCAGATTACTTCTTCATATTTTATATTTCTGCTTGCACATATTCACCATGTCAATGTCATTCATCATTGGATTAACTTCACAAAGTAACTGATCCAAAGTTTAGTGCCTTCATAAATATGATTTTTTGTGCATGTTCATCCCAGGAGATTTCATAAACTGTCATAAAATTTAGAATCATCAATCCAAACCTGAGCAAGACGTGTCCCATGTCCATTTGGAGCTAGCAAAACAAGTCCATGCCAAGCATCTCTGAAACCAACAATCTCAAGCAGGCTATCATCCACAAATGGAGGAGTCAAATCTCTCTGTAGGTCATATTTAAGCAGGATATCTTTGTCAGAGACGTAAAATCAACAAATAATAATGCAAAAGAACTCTTGGGAAAATAAGTGAGATGTTGGTACGAACATCACGCAGTTTCTTCCTATTTGGTGTTCCCCAAGGACTTAGTCCACCAGAAAAGCTAGGCAAGTTAAGGCATACAATTGACCTGATACTGTACATTATAGAAACAAAGAGTAAGTAAAATCACTGATAGGTCAACTAAGTATTTGAGGAACTATAAGGACTAACAGAGAGCACATTTTCATTATTAGGTTCTTATCATTTACACAGACATTGGAACATTGGCCACAGCAACAACCAGTAGTTGGAAGAATTGGACAAAATAAAGGACTGTCTGAAACGCCCATTGGGACTCTAAAGTTTTAAGAGGTACCCCTGAGAATCTATAAAAGACCTTGTATAGAAAAGTCTCTTTTTGTAAGAAAATGAAAAGAACCAATTTTCTTGCTTCACTGCGGGAAGCAAAGAATAGAACCGGAATACAGGAAATAAAGCCACAATAGGGTTGATAACATGTAGCAATTTGACATGAAAGAAGAATCCATAAGCAAGTAACAGACAATTGGAACACAAACATATAAAGCCAAACTATGATATCAATGAGCTTCCAATAAAAAAATGATCTCTATGGGCACAAACTTCCATAATTTCTTTCAAGTTTTGGTAGGGCCTCTGGAAATTTGTTGAAAGGCCCAAATTCTTATGCCTTCTTTTTTTCTTCTATCGGGGGTGGTTTGATGAGTGCAGTGATGGGGTCAAAAAAGTGGACTAAATCAAACTCGTTATGCTTCATTGCTGCAGTAACAGAAGTGAACTAGAAAATAGGAGGTTGAAGCCAACAAAAGTCAAACCATATTATCCCACTTTATTTATTTACTTGAGTCATTTTGAAAAAGAAAGTAAAAGCTAAAGCTCAAAATATCTGAGAGCAGGAAATTCTACGAACAGCCTCAAGGTTGAAGACAATCCTTCAAATCAATATGAAATCAAGAAAGCAAAAAAAGAAAAATCATTTGGAGATGATAGAGTTGGAACTTGGAGCCTTCATTCTACTTCAAAAAGGCCCCTCAACTCACTACTAGTCCAAGACACCAATTGTTTCAACAAAGTCAACTCATACAGCAGACAAACACTTGACCTTAAGTTCACAATTATAAATAAATGAAATTTCTTTTTTCCCATCTTGTCAATCTCAATTTTGTTTTTTTGTTTTTTTTGTATAATATTTTGTAGGCCATTAAAGTTTGCTGCAGCAAAAATTTTACATTCAAATTATATACTTGTAATGGAAAAAAAAAAAACTAGGCCATGAATGCATGCTGAATTGCTGATTACAATAACATAGAAATGCCCTTCTTTTTGTTGGATAAACAAAACTAGTAGAAAAGTAAGAGATGTGTGCTGACAGAAAAAGCTCATTAAACCAAGCAATGCGTCAGAAGATATCACATGTCCTTGCCCATTAGAATTTGACTCTTGTCAAAACCACACTCAGTTGGGAAAGATCCCAGAACTCTCCAACGAATATCATACATTTTGAAAGGCATCTATCGAACCTTAGGCCCACATATGTTTCACTTGGCACCAACCCTGTAGTAACATGAAGTCCATAATAACAGGCCATCATTGACCATCCAAATAACAAGCTAAATGAATTAACTCTTCAAAACTTAAATTTGGAGATTTCACTTAAAATCCACAGCACCTAGTGGTTAGAAGAAAGGTAAAAGAATACATTGGCACTCTTTAAAATTTGATGTATTTTGAATCCTTGTTGACAGATTATTAATTGTTGGAAGGAAAAAGTAAAAAAAAAATGACTTCCAGGAGTTACCTTATAATCAGGCACTACCATATGTCGAATCCATTTTAATGATTTCCAAGGTTCAGTATTAAATTCTAATTTGTGAGACATAGTCATGGACATATGAAAAGTAGAAATACCGAATAGATACATAGCAAAATGTGCATTCCTTTGCCTAATTAGAAAACAACATCTAATAGTCTTACAAAATGTATAATGACCATATTCATCTTTAGAAATTTCTCAGTTCAATCATTGATTCGTTTCAGTTTCCATTGAAACCGGAACATTTCGGCCCTCTCAATGGAAACAAAATGCAATTTTATTCCACTTATATAAGTACATTGTTCACATGTAAACTAACCTACTTTCCTTGTTAAAATAAATCAGATATCTACGAACATAGACATAGATACTTGTTAGAATATATGGAAATTAGAATAATGAGCATTCTTGTAATTTTTTAATATTCTTGTACCATAAATATTGAGGTTGGGAATGCATAGGTGACTACCTTTTCCACAATCCCTCTCTTTCTCTTTCTCTCTTCTTTTCTCTTCTTCTATTTCCCAAACCTTAGAATCAAACCTTTAATATTTCAACTATACTCTCCTAGTTGAAACAGTTCAAAGGTTTTCATTTGTTCTGTAGAGGTTAATCAATGATCTTACTTTTTAAAATGTTTTCAGTCTAAAACCTCTAATAAGATCATTTGCAGCTATAAACTACGATAACCTCTTCAATGCCTTTTCTTGTCATATTCTTTTTAACGCATCTATTCTTTTTTCAAGTTCCCACAAAATAAGCAACAAAAATTGTAAGTGATCATCAATTCTGTAATGGTTTCAGAAAATACACCTTTAACTTACCTATGAGGAATTAGGAGGTCTTGCAATTCCCCATGTCCTTTCATGATCTTAACATTTGCAAGCTGAGCTATGTTCCTGCATAGAAATTAACACTAACATCACCTAAAGCATATCAACAAACATACATTGCAGAGAGCGTCCCATACACCTCTACCTACATCTATGCTTGATACATTTATACTTTGTAAATATAGGTTTCGTCAAAGGCTCGGCAACTTTCAGACTTGTATTCATTATACGACCCAACTTTCAGATGAATTATGAACATGAACAATTTTGCTAATGATTTGCCACAACTAGTAACTGCTCAACTTTCTAAAATCAATGTCTTCATAGCATCCACCATTTCCTTATCCTTTAATGAAGCTTTTTAAATGACAAAACAATACCTCAGAACCTTTAAATATAACTAGGCATTAATTAAGGGCAGCACCATATGTTACAAAGACTCTTGTGATGTTCGAGCTAAAACATTCATTACAAGGTAAAGAAAATCTTGATTATGATAAAAAAAGGAATGGTGGAACATCAGCAGACCCCTAATATATGGGACTTCATAATAGGAATAAAGATACAATGGTCACATATTAACACAGGAATTGGCACAAGGTAAGGGCAGATTCATGAATTGATTCAAATAGGGCCTTCTAACCAAAAAAGTCACACTTTTTGAAAGGCTTGAGAGGCTTAAATCATCACTTCAAGTCCGATAAAGAGCCTTTCATTTTCCAAAAACTCTTTAACTTTTGAGAAGGCAATTTTCATTTTTTTTATTAGTGAGTAAACTATATTTATATTTTCCATACAGCACAATGCCAATATACTCACCTTGAAGAAGGATGAAAAAGAGAAGCACAAAACCATCCTTGGGTACATCCAAGCTTTGCGTATGTTCTCTAGAAGACAATAAGAAGCATCTTTTCACTGGAGGTATTTGTATGAAGAATAGCATTAGCAAGACCTAATTACAGACTATATTGTAACATGTTATTAGAGACACATCTTACATTTGTACATTTACCAGAATCCAGAAAAAGTAAGCATATTGTACATTGATCTTCAAAACTGAAAAAAGGTAGAATCGTATGCAATCATATGAGATAAACCAACTCCTCATTTCACCAAATACAATGATACCAATAGAATGCCAAGAAGCTTAATTCCCTAAATGACCTTCAAATGAATCATTTCAATGTGGCATTAAGATACTAGTTATAGAATTGTATTATGGTTGATACTTTGACTACGTCCCATGCCAATGGTTTAAGAAAAGCATTCAAAAATTTACAAGGGCGAGAGGGCACCTCACAGAAGTAATATCTTATTGCATACCATGTATTATTCCAATCAGACATCCTAATACTAATACAAACCAATTAGCTAGTGTGAATCTCACCACTTAGAAATTGTAATAATTTCACTTTCAGCTAGCATTGTTTTACATAGTGCACAAAAATCACATTACCTGATTAACCAACTGGTGTTTGAATCTCTCTGGATGCAACTTTCTTTCAGAATGAAATGCATAAGACACTTGTGCATCCATTCCTGTAAACAAGAAAATTAACTTAATTTGATATCAGAGATTGTATGATGAAAAGCATAATGATAGTTGTTGAGGGCGTGCAGCATATTCCACAACATTGTCTTTTCAAGACATCTGAAATATTTTTGTTTCTATAGAAACTAAAACAAAACTTCGATTGAATATTATAATTCTATGTTTTGAGATGAGATGTTTTAAGGTGTTTTGATATGGTTCAACATGTTTTAGTATTTTTCGATCAATGTTTCGGAATATTTTCACAACAAATTTCCAATTTTTTTCTTAGTTGCCATCTAGTTTCCGAAATTTTTTAAAACATGTCCGAAACATTTCCATTTCCAAAATGACCGAAGCTATGAACTAAGACGAAATTTTGATCCGTGGTTGTTGGTAGATGGACCCAACAAAAAAATGGAAAAAGAGATCCAACAAAGTTCCCTCACATTTACATTTCAAAATAACTAAGAAAGTTGAAGCTTCTAAACCATTGTACTTTGTTAAAGCAATCTCTCTACTATACAGGGACAAATACTATGGACTCCCTTTACTTTAGAGTTATGTAACATATATCTACAGATAATTGGAACTATTCAAGAATTTTTCTATGTTGCTTCAGTATTCTGTGGCGCACTTTAAAATTTTAGCTCGTTGGCCTGGTTCAGGATATGCCTATCCTCCAAAAACTCCCAGATGAAAACCAAGTAAAACTCTCTGCTTCAAACAAACTAACTAACATGGAAGGCTGGATCCAGATTATTTTGTAACAAAAGTTTTGCTTTCATAAATTTGGATATGGTGCTTGTAATTCAACAAACAGATTTGAACTCCATAGAATTCATAATTTTTTCATCTCACTAACATAAAGTAAAGAATTTAATCAAAATCACAATCTAGCTTAACGTGAACAAGAACCACTCCTTTAACAATCAGGGTTAACTTTTTGCCCCTAAAGTATGATGTTATTCCCACTTTGGTCGTTAAACTTTTGATTCAATTCGTACTCCAACTTTTGACATATTATCAATTCAGTCCAATCAATAACAACAGTTAACTTTATTGAGGAAAAAAAAGCATGTGTTCATGACGCAATGCACAAGTGTCATCATAGAAAAAGTTAACCTGTTGTTATTGATTAGACTGAATGGATAATATGCCAAAAGTTGGAGGGCAAAATTGAGACAAAAAAGTTCAAGGACATAAGTGGGATTTGGGAATCGTGCAATACTTAAAGGTTAAAAGTGTAATTAAGCTAAATTTTATTATATTCTTAGATGCCTGAACTCAAAATAACAGCAGTAACCCTGTTATTTTAAATCACCAGCCTTTAGGGAGTAGTCCGCTTGAGAATTTCATTTACTTCAAAAACTTCCATGCCAATTCAATCGAATCAGTAGTTAAGGATTGGGTATGAATTCCAAGTCCCTGTCTACATTTCCAAACCAACAAAATAGTATATATTTTCTTGTGGAGAACAGTTTGTCAAAATCTGACCTTGCTGATATCAAATTTCCATTGTAAGGAATGGTCGTAACAAAAGCCATATATTACATGGAGAATAAAATTACCAGCAAGAATATGTCAATTCAAGCCTGAAGATGGGACCAAAACCAAAAAATGTAAACAACGATGTAATTTTCTTGGACTGTTCCATAGTGACGCAACGCAATATATTGAATCCATCAATAGAAACAAATTAGAGGCTCTGTAACATCTTAGCCTCCAAAGTTTGACTTATGCTTCATGCATTCTATCATGATGCACTGGCCTATTACATGAGAACCAGAAAAAAAAAATAAATAAATAAAAAACTGAAGAAAAAAAACAGTGAAAGAGCAATAAATATATGGCTTAGTTAACATACTTGTCTTTCTGAAGGTAAGTTGTAGCTCATATTTAAATTGTAACTGCAGATCCCTCATATAAACCCAAAAATGTAATGTGCAAAGTCAAGGCAGCCAACATTACACATGACTAGTTCTTTCCACCTCAAGTTGTCACACAGAAAGAAAATCAGCATTATTTCAATGCATCAACCTTGCCATCACCTTTAGTCCAGCAATTGCCATTCGTATAAGGTCAGATTTATTATAGATTCCAGTGGTCACTATTGATGTGCAAAAACTGAACTACTATGCACTAAGCTACTCACAGTGGACTGTTTAAGTATGACACAGTTATAGTGCTTAATATATATTTCTCAAGCTTCAGGCAACCGATTGGCTCCAAGGGACTTTAGAAGAAGAGCAATGAACGTAGATAGTGTATATGGGAACACACTCTACAGCGTGCAATGAGAACATGTAACATAACTTGAAAGGTTATCATCTTTTGATATCATTTGGGAAATTTATACTTACCCATGCTAAAGTAATTCCAGAACCCGCCACGAAATGTGTGACAACCTTCCTGCAAAGAATTCGAACATTTACCCATAAGAAAACAGTACTATGCTGTAGCCATTTAGAAGAAGACTAACTTCAAAATAGCAATAGCAGACTGTTACTTATTATGTCTCTTTCAGACTTTCAAATGGCTAATACATTTTCTTTGCTTTGTTAACCACCACTATAAATTGGAAAAGGTATAAAAGTAAAATGTACAAGAATTGTCATGCAGCATAGTGATACATATCAATTTGAAAATGGGAATTTCATGTAGAAAAAAGATTGCGCAACTAATATATGTGAACATCTGTAACTAAGGAACCTTGGCATAAATGAAAGGAAAAACAGGACTACAGAGAAATAAAAGATAATAACCATAAATGAGAAACATAAAGACGACGCAACACAGAAGAATACGTGGTGTAAATAATATTAAAAACAACAAGGGTTATCTCACCATGTTGAGAACATCAGTTGAAGACACTCTATGGAATGCATGCAAAGAATGAGGCAACTCCAGAGGTGCAATAGGTTCACAAGAACCATCTTTTGGTGCTCTCATCCTCATGAGAATGTGCCAGCTGGATTTAAACAAACAATAGTAACGCCGAGGAACAAAAACATAGTTGCGTAACAAGCAAGTATTAGTCTTCTTAATCAATTGATTAACTCCAAAATATCAGGCTGAAAGGGGCATATCAAGGAAAAAAATTTTACTCATATGCCCTAAAAAAATTATATTTTAATTACACTGTATAATGTCCATCAAAAATCATAGGTGGGTTGACAAGAGGAAAACAGATTGAGTAAATAAATATTATGTCATAACAATAAGTGATCCTTGCCAATCATAGTAACTCTTTCGAATGTTTCAAATTCATGCAGTAAGTCTGAAAGTACTGAATCAAATATCATAAACTAATTCACGGAGTACTTTCTCGAGAAAAAATAATAATTTACATAGTGCAAAGATAATGGTTAGAGAAAAGTTTAGACATGAAAACAAAATATGACAGCTTTTTTTGATAAGTTCAGACAATTAGAATAAGGTTATGTTTAGCTGAGTTAGAAGTTAAGAACTGAAAATGTGACAGAAAATATCATGGTAATGAATATAACCATTTCAAATTTTACTGACACATAAATATAATTATATGGGGGCACTGGTCAAAATTCAGTAAAATAACCTCTAAGTTGTGGGTTCAAACATGAGGGAAGCCATTTTGTGCAAATAATGTCAGTTCACCATATTAAGTATATTAAAAACAATAATTTAAAGGTCTTGGTATAAAATGTGAAAATTAAAAAAGTTGGACAAATTACATTGAAAAGTAATAAAATGCAATCATATTTGGAGCTTAGGTGTTGAACAATATAATAACTACTGGAGATTCAAGAAAAAAATTCTTTCACAGATTTAGGGTGTTCGAAGAAAATGAAATTGAAAAACGGTATAACCTTATCTTATACGGTATACCACCTAAGATTTGCAAATGTTTGGGGATGTTGTAGCAATAATATTGAGTACTCATAAATGAAATAAAGGGGGCACTCTGAGTTCCACAAACTATCGAAAAATTATATCAGTAAGTTTTACAATGATCCTTGGGAAAAAGTTCATAGATTTGAAACAACAATATCTGAGGATTAGTGAATTTATATTTGGGATATTAGGACAAAAGCTCTATACTTGCTGAGTAAACTAATAAACAGGTAAAGAGAGAGAAAAGACATTTCACATGGTTTTATAGACCAAAAGAAGGCCATTGATAGAGTCCCTAAGAATATAATATGATAGATTTTAGAGAAGGAACCGATAAGAATATGTATACCGATATTATCAGGATATGTACAAGGGTTCATTGACTTTAGTGAAAATAATAAAAGGGTTAACTAAGGAATTACCAATTACTATAGGATTGCATTACGGTTTCCTCTTAAGTCTGTATGTTTTTGACTTGGTTATATATGAACCAAGTCCACAACTTTTTGTCTTGGTTATAGTCTTATAGATGAATCAACTAATCACACTCAGAATGAGATTTCATGGTATATATTTGATGTAAGGAAAAAAGGGTAAGAAAGGGATTACCAAATTAAAATTCAATAAAGACAATTTCTCTATAGAGAATTTTCAAATTAAAATTCAACTCTGATTAAAATAATCGGAATTACATCCTTATTTATTAAACAAGTGTCCTACCAAAATAAACTTCTCTTCTACTCAAATTCTATCAACTTATCTCTAATAATCTAAATCTGATAAATGTTATCTAACTAAAAATTCCAATAACAAATGCTATAAATAAAAAGATAAATCCTAATGATTCGACAACGTGCATTTCACTTTTGTACCAGAAATTCTCGGGTTTTCACCTAAGCTTCCAAAGCTGATTATGTCAGTTCAACCATACAAAGACTACTCATCAATATTATTTGCTAATGAGATAGTATCTATGAAGTACAGATACTTCAATCGAGGTAACGTATTGGATACCGATACTCATCGGATTCTCATGATTACATATCGAATACTTTCTGGATGTATCGAATAAGTAATAAAATATTTATCATTGTTAAATACTTGTCGAATACACCTCAGATACTCGGTATCTCCAAGGTGGATTAATTCTCCTTATACTTAGTGAGGTGAATTGTGTAGAAACCATGAATCACACACATGGGGATTCCTTATTCCAAGATGTTTATTTGGACATATATCACATAAGTCACAATATTTGTCAATTTTTTATAATTTGTTTGGCCTGAATAAAGAGTTTTTATAGCTTACGTCGAAATCGATAAATGTACTGCAATTAAATGTTAAGTAAACGTTAATGACCTTTGAAGGGTGACACATGTTCAGGTTTAGAATTACATAGAACATTTAATTCAAATACCATCAAACAGTTCCTATATCAACAACAAAAATTGTGTTAGTTTGGATGTATTTTGTCTCTTAATCCCTGGTATCTCTTGTATTGTAATAACTTCCGATAATATAGACATATCCTAGCCTTATTCGTATCCCACTTTTTAAGATTTTGTTATATTATCGTATCCATATCATGTCGTACTCTTATCCTGTATCCGTATCCGTGCTTCCCAGGATAGTATTGAAATCAGACTAAAGTAGGAATTGATAATAAATTTGAAATCTAGCGAGAAGCTTTAGAATCAAAAGGACTCGTGAGAAGTAAAAATAAACTACAAATATGGAAAAAAACTTGAGTAAAAGTAGAGATCCGAATAGGGAAGTAGCAACGATAAAAAAACAAATATCAAAGAGTGAACACTTCTGATATCTAGGGTTAATTATATACAGAGGAGAAGAGACTGAAGATGATTTACTCATCGCATTAAAATAATAAGGATAACTAGATAGGATATTATGCAATTGATGTATTCCTTTTAAGATGAATAGTAAATTGTATACTATAGGTAATTGGCCAATCATGTTTCATGGTACTAAACATCGGACAACTAAAATACATGTTTAGAAATTAAATGTGACTAAAACGAAAATATAGGATAGACATGTGGTAAAACAAGCAAATGATAGAATCATGAATAAGTGTATTTGGAAAATGGTAGAAGCAGCATTAATGGGGGATAAATTAAGAGATAAAAGACTCAAATGGTTTGGACACATATGTAGAAGACCTATGAATACACGAATGAAGAAAAGTGGTGTGATCCGTATCAACGGCAATGTGAAGTGTCGAGGTAGATCGAAATGAACTTTAAATGAGACAGTAAAAAAATATATCATATGCAATTTAATAGAAAATATGGCCCTCAATGAAACACAATGGAGAAATAGATTTTCTTAGGCTATATTAGCCAACATACAAGTTTACAGCCTAAGAAATCTGTCGGAAAAGGCATAATCATGAATGGATCATTACCACATGTTGCAAGAGTGTCTTAATATAGGATAGGTACATTCAAAGTTTCAGCAACCTAAGTCCACAAAACATAAAGTCAAACACCATGATAATTGTAAGGCATCCATCATTTCTTTTTTTAGCACCAGTTTAGTTGAAAACCTTGAGGCACATTTTCAAGAGGAATAAATCTAATAATTTTACAAATACAGCATCACAGAGTTAAATAAGAAGACTGCAATCAACTTCCATGAGAACACCAAGGGTGTTTGTTTAATAAAACTGAAAAAATGGACCGAAAAAATGGACCACGTAAATGCAGAACCTGTCTATTTTCATCTCTTTTGCTTTCCTTACTTGCCCCAAGAATGACAGCACAGAACTATGATCTGTTCCTGGATTCTTCTTGCCCTGCAAATTACAAAACTGCATATCATTAGAAGCCCTTACGAAGGGAAAACTAAAATTTGAAACTATTTGAGGTTCAAAATGCATCAAGGTTAGACAAAGAAGCAGTATCAAAGGTTTAAGCAAGATTGATAGGGGAGGGGATGCCCCCATTTTGTAGCTCATCGGAAGAGCATAACCACCCAACTTATTAGATTGGTTTTTACAACTATGAATTAACCCCACATTTGGTGCCTCATTTTAATCATCAGGAGTTACATATTCACCCAATACAATTTGGAATTTTATTTAATATCAAGGTTACTACCAGCTGATACACATCTTCAAGGAGGTTACTAACACAGAATGATCCAATTGTTGGCAGCCCTTTTGGTTACATGAAAAAGAAGTGGTTGTTGTCACATGGATGCCATTCACCTTAGAGTCAATTCAGGCTAAAACAGAATTCAATGCTTAAAGAATCAAAAACAAAAAATTAAGACGCCCGCAGATTCTGGTGTTCATCAACAAAGTCAAGCAGATGTCTCAGCACAAAGATGATTAACTTCAAAGGGTTCTGGTTCTCACAGAATATATAAAGGTGTTCCTTTATTTATTGAAAGCAAAAATAAGAGAAACCAAGGAAAATATGAAAAATGCATGCAAGTTAATCTTAACTGCCTATTCCCTGATTTATAGACAATGTATTTGTACTCCATAAAGCACAAAGCAAACATATAAAGCACTCAAACAATAGTGTTTTATTCTCAAAACACTGCTATTAAAGAAAGGCTATTTTCCTACCCAGCCAAATGCAAATGGCAGGTTGTTTCCAGTTCCCAGGGGCATAGTAGCAATTGGTGGTGGATGAGATAATTTCAGATCAGAAACAACTCCAAGAAGCCAGCCAGCTGTGCCATCCCCACCTGCGACCTTATGAGCTATATCACTGTCAGACACATTTTCACGATAATAGGGTGTGGAGGTAACTTCTATGCTACAATGTGAAAGCACAAAATCATTAATGAGAAAAGTCAACCTTAACATGACATGTAACTCAACTCACAATTATTCTCAATTTCTCTTGAAACTTAGAAACAAATTCATCCCCATTAAGCTTGAGCTTTTCTAGATGGAGGTACAGTCTGTGTAACACAGCATCAGGAGCCTCGTCCCCCAAATCAAAAACCTGAAAGTTAATTTAGGTCACCCATTGACAGAAAATAAGAGCCAATTTAGATTGTGGAAGTTTGATTCAATCCTGAACAAGAAATCCTTAAGGTGTCTAAACTGACATTTTAATGGTGCAAATACCTGCTTTTTGTTTAAAAGAGAACGATATGTGACAAGCAGATCTCCACCCAGCTGACCACCACTTTTGGAGTTGATGAACACTAGCACCGGGCATTCGGGTACATCACGTAAAGGCTCACTATCAGAGTCGGGCACAAGAATGTAACTAGGGATGTAGCACTCCTTCAATATGGGATCAGACTCAAAACTCAAATTTGCCATTGCCACTCCAACTGCACAAATTACAGGAACTAAGAAGAATTATTTGCTTATCAAAACAACAATAATTAGTAAGACTTGGTTTTGAAGAGCAATTGGCATTTCGAAAACCACGTGAAAATCTAATATGTATACTTGCAGAATCCTAAGGAGATAGATGCACATCTTTGCAATGTAAAACAGATTAACTAAAACTAAATAATGAAATGAAATTGGATTTGGCTGCCACTCATTTCTCAACAAATTAATTGCAACTGGATTCACCAACTACTCATTTCTCAACAAATGAGTGGCAACTGGATTTGGCAACTACTCACTTTCTAACAAATGAATAGCAATGGGACTCCACAACTACCGACACCCGAGAGCAGTGCAATTGGTCGACAATATGTATGATTATCAATAAGCTTTTAGCCGATGAAAACCCTTAGAAAATTTTGATAAATGCAACAAAATAAATTACCAGGAGAAAGTGAGCGATGGTTTCTTTCAGGCGTGCAAACTCAATAGCAAATCAATACTTCCTTTCAAAATTTCCAAAACTCGTTTGCATTTCAGTTATTATACAGAAAGAAATAGAACGACTTGGAAATCACACAAGTTTTGTCAAAAACTCCATGGATCTATTATAATATATATATATAAAAGCAACCTTTGAATAAGTCAAAATATAAATTCACATCAATCTGCATCAAAGTTAACAAAAAAAATGACAGCCTTGAAAGACAATACTTTGAAAGCTAAAATAAATTAAACAGCAATGGGATTAGAGTTATAAAGGTGGAGACTCAAAACTACTCCAAGGAGAGGTCCTTCAATTGGATACCAAAGGTGCATGATCAAGAACTTTAACCATGCACATCATATTGAAAAATATTCTGCAAAAGTTCCAAAATTCATATCCCTCACGCAACAAGAAGTTGAACTTGACTCGGCCATCCTTTCCCATTTAGTCATTTCAACAAACAGCATTAAGCCAAAAACTTAAAGAGAGAGAGAAAGAGAGAGAGAGAGAGAGCGATCAGTTCTTACTATCATTATCCTTTGTCACTATATAAAAACCATTCTTCACAAGAAATTCAAATACTCAAATCAACTCAACTCCATAAAGACTTCTCCTACCTATTTGGGGGAATACTCTTTCACCATTTTCCTACTTCTAAGGCCATGGCCATGTTCTCGGATCAAAAAAAAAAGAAAGAAAAATCAAGCAGAGATGATAGCAAAACTAATAAACCTTCACGGGTCAATCAAAAAAACGAAAATTCTTTCGGATTATAGCTCGGACATCTCGCAATTAATTCTCATCAGGCCATTATGAAATCACCGGCAATTCTCAAACCAATCCCAAAAACAATGACACGTTTGAGACAATTTCAATAGAAGATCGAAAATTTTACCTGGAAAGATTTTCTCCTGAGAAATGAAATTCCAAGTCTTTGGTCAGAAATGTGAAGAGCTCGTCAGAAGAATAGGGATCATGGGATGCCAGCTTGAACAGAGAGAGAGAGAGAGAGAGAGAGAGAACGGCGGGTGTGAAAATTGACTAGTTCGGAGATACAGATACAATTATGTGGAGGATATGGGTTCTTTATTACGGAGAGGAAATTACATGGCTGCTTCATTTTGATTGATTAGCTCATTTTGGTTATTAGAATGCATAAATTGTGAGCCTTCATGCCTCTCTCTCTCTCTCTCTCTCTCTCTGGTCTATCCTGCAAAATAGACAAAGGTAGGTTGAGGCTGATGATTCAAGGTCCCTCTGTGATGTTTTATGTGGGGCCCACAAAAGTAAACTCACTTTTAAGATCAAATTTGACAATTTAATGTTTTATTATCATTGAAATTAACAGTAAATCTCATTTAATATTACTACCACAATTTTATTTGTATCTTTAAAGATTTAATTTTATTTATTTTTTGATTATAAACGGTATGCATTTTTTGATTATATTTTTTATTATTTGATTATGAAGAAACGAAAAAATGATTGGAATGAAAATCCTCCAGCCCACCAAATTTGTTCCCTGTTAAAACGGGTGGAAAATGGTCAAAAGTGCATAGCCTCACATAGAGTTTGACATGTGATCCACATGTTAATAGCTAATTACCATTTAGATTTCATATCACAAGTCAATACATTATTCATATTTTATTTGGACATTTTTTATATTTTATTAGCGATGGTGTTTTTTATTTTATTTTTCATACCAAATAAAATTATTTTTTTTATTTTTTTATCCTTCTTATCGAACATAAATGACAAAAAAACAGAATATTTCCTTCGATGATGAAAAATTTACTCCTTCTATTTTTCCATTTCTCCATTTTTTTATCCTTAATATGAAACAGACCATAAATGGGAACATCCGTATGGAGGATAGTTTGTTAAATCGGAGGGAATTCCTCCATTCAACTAGGGGTGTTCACTATATTTTGCGGGTAGAAAATATAGTCTTTCGTCTTTCTATACGATACTTTACGGAATAATTTTTTATTGACCTATCCTACCAGATCAAGTGTGGTTTTCCTACCTGACTTCTTACCCCATCAAGTGTGGTATTTATATCGGGTAGGAAGTCGGGTAAACACTTTTATAATTATTAATTTTTAGATCATTTTAACAATTCAATTGAATAACATGCACCAATTTAACAACACAATAAATCAATAAGATTAAAACCTAAAACAACTGCAACAACAATTACAATAAAACATAAGAAATCATGAACATCAATTCATCATAATTGTTACACAAATACAATAATTATTTTAAGTTTAAATCATATGAAATACATTAAAATCACAACAGCTCCAATAGATCACTAGTTCACCACAAATCATGTAACCTACATAAAAAACAAGTTTATGTTTTCACAACTCAAACATTCACAACAATAATAATATTATAATATAAATTATATTACACAAATACTCTTATAATTATTAAAAAAAATTAAATATGTTTTTTGCGGGTAGAGTAGAGTAGAAATACAGAAATTGATGGATATTTTGCATTCTTATTCGATTTAATCGGAAGACCAAAAATTCTTATACATTACTATTCGATTTTTGCGACTAGTTATTCAATAAGGTAAGATAGGATCAAATAGGATAAAAAATTGTGATCAATCAAAAATTTAAACACTTCTACATCCAAGTACAAAAGTTTATAACACTAATTACAAATTTAGCTGGAGAATGTGCAACTTCATTTCCTCCCATTCGAGTCCATAACACTGAGAAGTTGCCAAAGTTTTTTTTTACTTATCCCTTGATTTGATAAACAAATTTCTGCATTTATGATAGGTTTGTCCTCTCAAGCTCGGCTTTAGTAGCAGGCATAGCTTCCACATAATCTTCCTTGAGTAGTCCCACAATCTTGTGACAATCTATTCTTTAAAACCTAATTTGAGAATATAATCTATTCTAACTACTCCGTTACCAGTGAACTCTATTTAATATTGTGATCCGTTTCTAATTCGAAGACTTTTATGCATTAAGCCTGCAATTTTGGTCTCAAACAATCAATGCAAGCTATCTTGAACAATTTGTGCCCGCCTCCTCTAGAGTTCGTATCATACGACCACACTCACATGAAGTGCTCCCAGGTTCGGCGTCTTAAATCTTCAAGCAAGATGGTTACTCGGGTATTGGGGTTGTTTTCCGTGACGAAACTTTATGCAAGGATGAGTAAAAAAGCCAATAGAATTCTGAGAGCAGACCATATATCGTTAGGGGTGTTCAAATTTCTGTTTGACCGTAATTTCTTACCTTATTCGATCTTATTGAACGGTTAGTCGCAAAAATCAAGTAAAAATGCGAAAGAGTTTTTAATCTTCCGATTAAATCAGGTAAGAATACGAAATACCCATCAATTTTCGCATTCCTACCCTACTCTACCCGCAAAAAATAAATTTAACTTTTTTATATGTTTTTTAGTAATTATAAGAATATTTGTGTGGTATAATTTATGTTATAATATTATCATTGTTGTGGATGTTTGAGTTGCTAAAATATGAACTTATTTTTTGTGTAAATTACATGATTTGTGATGAACTAATGATCTATTGGAGCAATTATGATTTTAATGTGTATCATGTAATTTAAACTTAAAATAATTGTTATTGTATTTGTGTAACAATTATGATGAATTAATATTCATGATTTTTTGTATTTTATTATAATTGTTTTTGTAGTTATTTTAGATTTTAGTGTTATTGATTTATTGTGTTGTTAAATTGATGTATGTTATTTAATTGAATTATTAAAATGATCCAAAAATTAATAACTACAAAAGTGTTTACCTGATTTTCTACCTGATTTCTTACCCGATTAATCGGGTAGAAAGTTGGATAGGAATATTACACTTGATCGGATAGGATATGATAAGAAAAAATTCTTTTATAAAATATCGAGTAAAAAACGAAAGATTATATTTTCTATATAAGGGTGAACACCCTATGTATCTAATTAATAATTGACTTGAACACCCCTATGTACCAAGATACAGGTAGAATGGATATGGGAAGTCGTCGGGGGGGAAAAGGTTGGGTACTTTATTAGGGATAGGAAATTACACGGCTGCTTCGTTTTGGTTGGTTGGCTCATTTTGGTTGCGACGTTATGTGGGTGTGTGTATATGTGGAGCAAATATTCGTTACGGTGATACCTCGTTATCACTGTGACGTGGTGTTATTATTTAATTAAAAATTAGTTGGACCAGTCTAATAGTATGAAAAAAAAAAAATATAGGCTTTAGGCCATAAATTTTTAGAAGGTCTCCTAATTTTAAGTACATTACTAATCCGTAAAAAAAAATTAAATTTATTAAATTTTAAATCCTACAAAAAAATCCTAAAAAATTAAATCTAATCAAAACTTTTATTGTAATAATTTGGACCTATAATCCAATTCATAATATTAAAAACTTATAAATTAAAAAAATAATTAAAAGTCAACTCATATTTACTCTCACCGTCTCTCTCTCTCATAAAAAAAAT